AATTGAAATACAATTGATGTTTAATCAATTTAAACTGAAACAATAACTAACTATGTACCTATTGTTTTAAATTTTCAAAATTAAATGTATGTTAGGTGAAGATGTTTTCATAAACACGTGACTACAAGAACTAGTAGTCTGATAGGTACTTTTGTAAATTCGGAAATATATTTTGTCACATTGTTAAACATAAAATATAATCTAAGATCATTAAGATATGGTTATCGGACAGAATCAGATAAGATAAACTAAAATCAAGTTATTAATATTTATTTTTACCTACTTATTTCCTATATACATTATTATACATTTACAAATCTGTAAAATAAAATATGTCTTATTTTATTGCAAATTACGTGAAATGAATTTATCATGTTTTACTAAAAATATGTATTTACCTCGGTATTTACATACAAATCCTAGCCCTAGTTATTAGCTTTTTGCATTATTGTTTAAATGTACAAACGACCAACTTAGGACATTGGTACGTTTCAGATTTATAAAAACTACAATCAAAATCCATTAGTTGACAACAAATCTTTTCATTTTGTTCAACTCAAATCTAATTAAAAGATGGAAGACATGGGCTTAAGTTTTGCTGATCAATCTCTTTCACTCAATTCTGCTGAAGATGCCAAAACTATAGTTTCAGCAATTGAAAAATGTCAGAGTCTGGTTTTTCTCAATCTCCAAGGAAACACTTTAGGAATTGATGCTGCTAAAGAAATTGGTCTTGCTATTGCTAAACACGGGTCTCATCTTAAACATGCATTATGGCAAGATATGTTTACTGGACGACTAAAATCTGAAATTCCAATAGTTCTGGAACATTTATCAGCTGGTTTATTATCAGCAAATGTACGTTTATCTGAACTTGATTTAAGCAATAATGCTTTTGGACCTATTGGTATGAAAGGATTAGTTAAGCTATTGAATTCACCTGTGTGTTATGAATTACAAACATTACGTTTAATGAATAATGGATTAGGGATTAGTGGAGCAAAAATGCTTGCAAAAGCATTGATTGATAATCATCATGCTAGTGTTGCAGCTGGTACTCCATTTAAACTTAAAGTACTAGTAGCTGGTAGAAACCGGTTAGAAAATGAAGGTATCATAGCTTTGTCTCAATTCTTTAGTCTTGTTAAAACCATGGAAGAAATAACAATTCCTCAAAATGGAATTTATTGCAAAGGAATATTAGCATTATCTGAAAGCTTACTACAAAATCCAAATTTAAAAGTTTTGGATGTTCAAGATAATTTACTAACTGTACTAGGGGCAGAGGCATTAGCCAATGTTCTGCCAAAATTAAAAAATCTGAAACATTTGAATATTGCTGATTGTTTGATAAAATCTAAAGGTGCTTTAGCCATAGCAGAAGCTTTAAATGTTCATGAATCCCTTGAAAATTTGGATGTAAGTTATAATGAAATCAATGGTGAAAGTGGAATGATTCTAACAAAAGCACTATGTGACAAGGTAAACTTAAAAGTGTATAATATTAATGGTAATAGATTTGGAATAGAAACTATTGATATTATCTCAAATACATTGAAAGAATCCAACAAAGATAAAACATTAGGATCATTCAGTGGTGATGAAGGTGAATGTTCTTCTGATGAAGAAAATGAAAACGAAGAAGCTGAAGAAAGTTCAACAGATACTGAAGATGAAGATATTTCTACTTCTTATGCAGATAAAACTGCTGATATAATGAAAGAAATGACTGTTGGCGAGACTAAGTTGGTAAAAAATTCTACGGATAATGTTAGTTTAGAAGAGGTGGTTGATCAACTAATGGATATTGCTGGTCATTATCAAAATGAAAGTGATAAATTAACATTGGATAAATCTTTTGAGTTGTATAAAACAGCTTATACTAATGCTACCAGAGAATTAAAATTTGTGGACTTAACAAATTTATTGTTAGAAAAACATGGATTAATTAAAAGTGAAGATAAAAATTTCCAACTACGAAAAGATGTTGGTAGATGTTTAGAAGTTCTAAAATTGGCTGTTGAAAATAAAAATGTTATTCCTGAACCATCCCAATGTGTATTAAGTTTTATGTTAAAAAAAAAATATAATGTTTAATAGTTCATCAATTATTACATACTATACTCGGTACATTTGAAATGGCATTCTTTAATCTAAAATATATCATTTTTTTTTTATATATATACACAATTCAGTTTTTTTTTTTAATTTAATTATTTTTTTAGTTTCACTAGAATATTGAATATATATTATATATTTTATAATTTTTTTTCGTATATTTTGTTCTAAAATATTTTTCTTCCTTATTATGTGGTTTAATCATGTTGAGTGACATTTGTTTTTTATCAATCTGTTAAACTTAACACTAAATAAAAATATGTATTGTTTGGGAAAGATTTAGAAATCTAATTTACTHAGCTTAATACTAATTACTCAAGAGGACTTGTGTTTTAAACCTATTTATTTAGTCTAGAATTATTTTGCTATACTTACATTTTTAATATATTTATTTTTATTTTATGTAAAGATCTATGTTTATTAAATTTAGTTTAGGTTTGTTAAGATTTAAAAATAAATAGTAGTTATTAATATGTCTTAACTATTAAATATAATTATGATAAAATTCAAAGTACTTGTTAACTAATTTTATTTGAAATAACTTRTGCACTTTAAAACCGCATAATATGCTCTTAACATTTTTTTAAACACAAATGTACATTCCGCAGAACTGACTGAGACTAAATACTAAAATATTGATTGTTGTCGGGATTATTGTCATGTCTAGAAACGGTTTATAAATAAATCCTAACCGAATAAAAGCCCGCGTGGTGCGCACAAAGCTGTGGTGGTGACGTCATAGGTATAGTGTGTATGATGTTAAATCAATATTGCTTCTATGAAAAATGTGTCCCTGTGGACAGTCAAAAACCATATTATACGACAAAAATAAAAAATAAATAAATTTTTCTCCAAAATTTTTGATTGTATTGTTTGAAGTTAAATGTTACAGTGTAAAAACTCGATTTAAGTTAAATATGACTTAAAAAACCAAAAAACCGCAAATTATGCATTTATATGCACAATAAAATTTCAAAACTAGCTTTGTGAAAACAGGAAATGTGTTTGTATCGTATTCTGCTATTTTTGTAACTATAAAACAAATCTGCAAATGCTTCAAGTCCTCTGTCCTAATAATGATGATAATTACTTCAATATGAAGAATACTTATACCGAGATGCATAAAAAATTTATTTGTCTAATGACCAATTGTGGACCACTTAATAGTGTTTAAAGGACCATAAGCTCACTATTAATTCAAAAAATGTTAACTGATAGTACAATGTAACTCAACATTAGTTTTGTTCTGGTATACAATGTATTAACACATTGAAAACTTAGGTACCTATCAACAATTTGAGTTCAAAWTATTGAAAATATTCAAACTTTAATTAGRTAACTACTGTTAGTACTTACTCCTAACTGATAACTGAAAACCAACACATCTTAATCAAGTCACGTGGTCTGAAGTAATATACTTATTTTGTAATTTTATTGTTTTTAGGAGTAAATCTATTATAAAAGTGATTTTTCCCTACTTCTTTATTCACCATTGTATCAAGCCTTACTACTGAATTATTATTAAATTATATGTTTTTTATTCAGGTATATAATAGAATATGTTGTAAATCAATTAAACACAGTCCAAGTTCCAAAATTTAATACCTACGATAAACATTTTATATCTGAAATTAAAATATATTAACCTTTAATATAAGTTGACTGAAAAATAAGCATTGTGTATTTTATATGTACGAATAGTTGATATCATTGCTATACAATTAAAAATATAATTACATGACTTATTGATAATAACAGCTGGAATTACCTTAAAAATATTTAACTTAAAATTTTAGGCGACTGGTATAGTATCAGATTTTTATTTGGAAATTATTGCAAAAACACATCATGAAACACCAGTACATTTTTAAAATGATGATATTGTTGGAATTACCGTTTGAAATTTTCATTTATGATGAAATATCAACTGGCTGCTATTTATACCTGATTTCTATTACATAACAATTCTATTAAATATATTTTAAAACATAATTAATTAAAATAATGAAACTGCTGGAATTGCTGTTAGACATTTCAATTGGCTGCTGTAATTACAGTTTATGTCAATTTCAGTATTGTTAAAAATACCCTGTATAGCTTTATATTGTATATTGTGCCTATAGAAAAAATTATTTAATATGACAATTTTAACTACAATGATGATACTGTTGGAAGTTTTCATTTGTGATGAAATATCAACTGGCTGCTATATTTATATCTGATGTCAGTTTTAGTATTGTTAAAAATTATCTTTGTAGTTAGATTTAATGCCCATAATAACTATAATTTTATATTAACGCTGTTTTAACAGAAATGATGATACTGTTGGAATTACCGTTTGAAATTTTCATTTGTGATGAAATATCAACTGGCTGCTATATTTATATCTGATNATAATATGCTCTTAACATTTTTTTAAACACAAATGTACATTCCGCAGAACTGACTGAGACTAAATACTAAAATATTGATTGTTGTCGGGATTATTGTCATGTCTAGAAACGGTTTATAAATAAATCCTAACCGAATAAAAGCCCGCGTGGTGCGCACAAAGCTGTGGTGGTGACGTCATAGGTATAGTGTGTATGATGTTAAATCAATATTGCTTCTATGAAAAATGTGTCCCTGTGGACAGTCAAAAACCATATTATACGACAAAAATAAAAAATAAATAAATTTTTCTCCAAAATTTTTGATTGTATTGTTTGAAGTTAAATGTTACAGTGTAAAAACTCGATTTAAGTTAAATATGACTTAAAAAACCAAAAAACCGCAAATTATGCATTTATATGCACAATAAAATTTCAAAACTAGCTTTGTGAAAACAGGAAATGTGTTTGTATCGTATTCTGCTATTTTTGTAACTATAAAACAAATCTGCAAATGCTTCAAGTCCTCTGTCCTAATAATGATGATAATTACTTCAATATGAAGAATACTTATACCGAGATGCATAAAAAATTTATTTGTCTAATGACCAATTGTGGACCACTTAATAGTGTTTAAAGGACCATAAGCTCACTATTAATTCAAAAAATGTTAACTGATAGTACAATGTAACTCAACATTAGTTTTGTTCTGGTATACAATGTATTAACACATTGAAAACTTAGGTACCTATCAACAATTTGAGTTCAAAWTATTGAAAATATTCAAACTTTAATTAGRTAACTACTGTTAGTACTTACTCCTAACTGATAACTGAAAACCAACACATCTTAATCAAGTCACGTGGTCTGAAGTAATATACTTATTTTGTAATTTTATTGTTTTTAGGAGTAAATCTATTATAAAAGTGATTTTTCCCTACTTCTTTATTCACCATTGTATCAAGCCTTACTACTGAATTATTATTAAATTATATGTTTTTTATTCAGGTATATAATAGAATATGTTGTAAATCAATTAAACACAGTCCAAGTTCCAAAATTTAATACCTACGATAAACATTTTATATCTGAAATTAAAATATATTAACCTTTAATATAAGTTGACTGAAAAATAAGCATTGTGTATTTTATATGTACGAATAGTTGATATCATTGCTATACAATTAAAAATATAATTACATGACTTATTGATAATAACAGCTGGAATTACCTTAAAAATATTTAACTTAAAATTTTAGGCGACTGGTATAGTATCAGATTTTTATTTGGAAATTATTGCAAAAACACATCATGAAACACCAGTACATTTTTAAAATGATGATATTGTTGGAATTACCGTTTGAAATTTTCATTTATGATGAAATATCAACTGGCTGCTATTTATACCTGATTTCTATTACATAACAATTCTATTAAATATATTTTAAAACATAATTAATTAAAATAATGAAACTGCTGGAATTGCTGTTAGACATTTCAATTGGCTGCTGTAATTACAGTTTATGTCAATTTCAGTATTGTTAAAAAATACCCTGTATAGCTTTATATTGTATATTGTGCCTATAGAAAAAATTATTTAATATGACAATTTTAACTACAATGATGATACTGTTGGAAGTTTTCATTTGTGATGAAATATCAACTGGCTGCTATATTTATATCTGATGTCAGTTTTAGTATTGTTAAAAATTATCTTTGTAGTTAGATTTAATGCCCATAATAACTATAATTTTATATTAACGCTGTTTTAACAGAAATGATGATACTGTTGGAATTACCGTTTGAAATTTTCATTTGTGATGAAATATCAACTGGCTGCTATATTTATATCTGATTTTTAATAGAAAATGATCATATTACATGCAACTGATTTATTATATTTTCACAATGATGATACTGTTGGAATTACCGTTTGAAATTTTCATTTGTGATGAAATATCAACTGGCTGCTATATTTATATCTGATGTCAATTTTAGCATTATTAAAAATTATCTGTGTAGCTTGATGTAACCCTTATAATAATAATTATTTTGTATGGATATAATTTTAATGGCAATGATGATACTATTGGAATTACCGTTTGAAATTTTCATTTGTGATGAAATATCAACTGGCTGCTATTTTTTCTGATGTCATTTGATTACACTTAAAATAATATAATATGTTATAAACAATATGAATATAAAATTGTTTAAATATTACCATTTAATTTTTCATTCATGATGAGATTATCTTTAAAATATTATGTATATAAATTATGTTCTAYATAACCATTTTTAATGAACAAAATTATTCAGGTGTTACAAGTTATTTAATAACCCACACCTAAATTTACTAATTTTTCTTTCCCAAAACATTTTTTCTATTGAATATTTTTATAATTGTGTCTTTGTATTTATTTTATGAAGCATATACWTGAATTTTTCAATTAATGTTATTGTTTAACTTATTATTTTACAGATAACTGTAGAACTTAAATCACATCACAATGTTGAGCGCCGCTAAATATGTTGCACGTCGAGCTGCAGAGCAGTCTCTCCTTGTTAAACAAGATATAATATCTAAAGCTTTATGTCTTAGCCCATTTCAAACTCGACAATCATCATCTAAGGGTGTTCAAGGTCATGTTATTGGAATTGATCTTGGCACAACCAACTCTTGTGTGGCTGTTATGGAAGGAAAACAACCCAGAGTAATTGAAAACTCTGAAGGATCGAGAACTACACCTTCAGTTGTGGCTTTCACTAAAGACGGAGAAAGGTTAGCTGGTACTCCTGCTAAAAGACAAGCTGTAACTAACACCCAAAATACATTTTATGCTACTAAAAGACTAATTGGTCGGCGTTATGACGACCCTGAAATACAAAAGGACTTAAAAAACTTGACTTTTAAAATTGTGAAAGCTACTAATGGAGATGCYTGGGTGCAAGGTTCAGATGGCAAGATGTATTCTCCTAGTCAAATTGGAGCATTTGTCTTAATTAAAATGAAAGAAACAGCAGACTCTTTCTTAGGAACAAATGTTAAAAATGCYGTAATCACTGTTCCAGCATATTTCAATGATTCTCAGAGACAAGCTACAAAGGACGCTGGACAAATTGCAGGACTTAATGTCTTGCGTGTTATTAATGAACCTACTGCTGCTGCRTTAGCCTATGGCATGGAGAAAGATAGTGATAAACTTATTGCTGTTTATGATTTAGGTGGTGGAACTTTTGATGTTTCTATTTTGGAAATCCAAAAAGGTGTGTTTGAGGTCAAATCGACTAATGGAGACACATTGCTTGGTGGTGAAGATTTTGATAATTTATTAGTTAATTATTTAGTAACTGAATTCAAAAAAGAGCAAGGTGTGGATTTAAATAAAGATGTTATGGCTATGCAACGTGTAAAAGAGGCAGCTGAAAAGGCAAAAGTTGAATTATCTTCTTCTCTTCAAACTGACATAAATTTACCATACATAACAGTTGATAGCTCTGGCCCAAAGCATTTAAACTTAAAATTAACAAGAGCCAAATTTGAAGGATTAGTTGGTGATTTGATTAAAAGAACAACAGGGCCATGTCAAAAAGCTGTTAAGGATGCTGAAATAAAACTTTCTGATATTTCTGACGTATTGTTGGTTGGTGGAATGACTCGAATGCCAAAGGTACAGTCATTGGTAAAAAAAATATTTGGAAAACAGCCTAGTAAAGCAGTAAATCCAGATGAAGCTGTTGCTGTTGGAGCTGCAATTCAAGGTGGAGTGTTGTCTGGAAGTGTAACTGATGTTCTTTTGCTCGATGTCACTCCATTATCTCTTGGTATTGAAACGATGGGAGGAGTTTTCACTAGCCTCATTTCACGTAATACAACCATTCCAACCAAGAAAAGCCAAGTTTTCTCTACAGCTGCTGACTCTCAGACTCAGGTAGAAATTAAAGTATTCCAAGGAGAAAGAGCAATCGCTGCTGATAATAAGCTCCTTGGYCAGTTTTCATTGGTTGGAATCCCACCTGCACCGAGAGGTGTTCCACAAATAGAGGTCACATTTGATATTGATGCTAACGGTATAGTTCA